ATATATATATATATATATATATATATATATATATATATATTAGTTATATATGTAACTAATTAAGGAGAAGAAAAACCTTCACATCACATACCACTAGGAAAGATTCACAATGATCGCATAGCGGTTTTTGCATTCATTCAATCATGAAACCTATATATACATATATTATGATGTATGGACGTGGTTAGGAATAACTGAAAACGTGCTTGCTCGCCGTTATTTATTTTGTTTAGCATATGTAATACTTACATCCATCATGGAGTTTGAATTGCGGGTCAGCTCAGTTTTGACGGTACCGGGGTGTAAACTGACCGCTGTCACGCTGGTTCCCTCCAATCGCTTGCCCAGTTCCACAGTGTACATGGTCAGAGCCAATTTCGACTGGCTATAAGCCAAATACGGACCGTAATCCGCCCCAACCAGATGCAGAGTTGGTTTATATAGACTTCCGTTGAAATGGAGCATTGACGAAACATTGACGATTCGAGCCATCGGAGCTTTCATCATTTCTGGCAAGAGTAACTCAGTCAACAAAACAGGGCCCAAATAGTTGACGGCCAACGATAATTCATGTCCGTCCGCGGACTCCTCGTAAGTTGGACTAAGAACTCCGGCATTGTTGACCAAGTAATCGATTGGTCGATCCATTTCTTTGATTCGGTCGACAAACTCTCGAATGGACTGGAACGAACTCATATCTACTCGCTCCAGGCGTAACTGAAAAGTCACAGATAGAGAAAATATATTCAATATATACATATACGAATTCTAGTGGTTTCGTGTTAGCCTATCCAATAAATGAGTGCAAGTCTAACCGTCCTGGTTGGTAGACACTACTTGAGAGCTAAAATGAGATAAAAGCATGAACACAGTGCTTTCTGAGTGCATAATTAGCCGGACAAACTGAGGATTGGGGAAAAAGATAAAACCTGAAAGGTGACCGGCGAAAACCAATAAAAGTTGACCCAAACTACTATTCACAAGTGCCGGCTTGTTTGATGAAAACAGTATATTCGATTTGTTTGGCAATGTGCATCCCAATCCGTGGGCAAGATCTAATCTGGTGGGAGGATTACGACATGGGTTACCAAGTGATAGATTCTGCCTTTCTTTGAAGCTGTCGGGTCATCAACTAGTCGACTATCTCTGAGGTCAACATGTCAACAAAAGCATATGCGTAATTGTAGTTAGCCCCGGTGTGAGCTAGTCGATGCAGTGGTAACACACGAATGATAGTCAAGGGATCGGAATCACCAACCTCGGAGGGTGTACTGAACAGTTATTCTCAAGTGATTCAGTTCAGTTCAGTTTGTTCAACTGATAGACCTGCAATTCTTGCAGCGGTTTCGCCTGTTGTCTTTCAGTCGCCCACGGAAACAAAGGAGCAGAAGGGAAAGGTTGAATGCTGGGAGTAGCATCAAAATGAAGATAGCGATTCACGAAGACTTAAGTGGCGAAGAAACTTAGGAGCTACAAAAGCTTCAGCTGTTTTCCACGTGTGAGATCGATAGAATGAAATATGTATGGGATGAAGATGCAGACTGATGGGTGGTTAGCAAAAATTAAAATTGCTAAAAGGTTGCAAAAAGAGGTGGGCTGCCGAGTTTAGAAAAAAACGTCCAAGAGGGGATACTCGCAGCAAGTGAGAAATCGCTCAAAAAAGTCTATCGGGTCAGAGTAAAAGAACATTCAGAGTCCCCCCTCCAATAGAAGTAGGCGAACTAGTTTACGCACACCCAGACGAGCAGTAAAGAATGTGCACATTGCTCATTCATTCAAAAATTATAAGGATTCGCGTTTACTTAACCCCATTGCCAAATTTTAAGTTTTTGTTCCATGCAAACCAATGATTTTTCTGCAAACAGAGGACAGAATACATCCTAACACACCCTCGATGCGTGTTTAACGATTCCTATGCTCTTATGGATCGGGCTGGGTGGATCCAACCATAACAATCTGTGCGAGGACTTGAGAAAAACCCATCCTAATTGTTTGAGCTAGCGATCAACCGCGACCGGGATAACATAAAACTCACTGTATGTCTCCAACCAACCAGCTACGAATTCTTTTGAACACCAACATGAAAGGTGAGAGACACTGACTCGGCCTAATCACTCTGTGAGCTTTTGCACGTCATCTGGTAACCTTCACGTGATTTTCTCACGCCTGCATTGGTAGTTGAAAATAAGGCGCGGTGCAGTGGACAACTTGTGGTCATGTAAAATACGCGATCTGACCAGCGAAGCTTACCAATCTGACTTCGATGTGATGACGAATTTTTGACTGATATGTCCGCAAACACAGAATGGCTTATTAACGCGACAGCTCATTATATCTGAGCCAAACTACCAATGGTCACGCAGAAGCCTAGGTAGAAGAAGCAATCTACAACTACTAAGTCATGGCAATCCTGTTGCGAAGTGAGGCTAGTTGACACCCACCCATTCTTACAGCATTACTTTCAAATTGTAAGGTTCAAAGAACCTGCAGAACGGTGTAACAAAACTAGTCAGTCCTTCAACTGCACCTTACGCGTCCTCTTCACTGACGAACAGACAGACAAATCCGTTAGCACACTCTAAGTGGCACAGCTTTTTCCAGTCCTG